CTTCCCGCCGGCCCCCGCCCCGGTCCGCAGCCACCGGCTGCCCCGGCTGCCGGCGTCCACCGCGGTGCGCAGCTCCTCCGCCCCCGGCCTGATGCGCCCCCGGGTGCCATGGCCGGCTCCTGTCCGGCTGCTCTGGGGAATTCAGACCCAGAGCGGGGGGAAGGTGGCGCTTTTGCTGCCAGTTGTTTGCAGCAGCGCGTCCTCCTCGGCCCTCCACACCAGCCCAGGGCCACACATCCCCTCCCTGCCCCAGCCTCTCCGCGTCTCCCCGCAGGACAGGCAGTGGAGAGGTCTTCATCCACCCACCCATCGCAGAGGTAGCGGGTCTCTTCTCCCGGTGTTTTAGGGCCCCAGCTCCTCAGCGAGGCTGCGAGGATCCAGCAGCAAGCCCAGTGGCAGGGAGTCCCCTCAGCCGGAGGAGCACATGGCTGGGGCACAAGGTGAGGAGCTGGATCGGGACCTCTGAGGACATCAGGACTTCTGGTCCTAGCTTCGGCAGGTGATGACCAGGCCCCAGTGCCCAGGGTAACTGTGGTTTCCATCAGCCACGCCGGTTCCCGGCTCCTCTCAGAGATGAGCATCCAGCTGTCTCTCACTTGGCGTCGTGGCAGCCCCACGCACCTGCCCCAAACACCTTCCACACCAGCTTCCAGTGACACCTCTGCCAGGGGGGCACTTTGCACCCCATAACCGTCATCCCCAGCCTAAAGTTTTGCCCACTGAATGGCTCCTCTAGCCAGGGACCTGTCCCTGGACCTGCCAGAAGCTGGCAGTGAGCAGAGAACATTCTTGGGGGATCAGCGCAATAGAGGGACCATGGGCACAGGCAGCGGGTGACAGGCACAGCGTATCGAACAGGTACCTATAGCCTGAGGCATCACGACAGGCTGCAATGCCCATGAGCCAAGCTGAGCCCGCAGAGCACAACTCGCTGCAGCAGAGACTGCGGCCGCGTCCCACCTCATGGCTCTGCCCTTGCACAGCCCACCCCGATGGCCAGCCTGCTCCAGGTGCCTGTCCCTTGGCCTGGCACCCTTCTGCAAGGCAGGTCCTTGGCCACAGAGCTTTGTGCTGTGGGAGGACTCATGACCATGGCGGCTGTGCCAGGCTGGTGCCAGCACAACCATCCCATGGCGCAGGTCCTGCGTACCCAGGAGCAGGGATCCCACCTTCTGGGATGCTGTTGGCAACCATCAACCAGTGTCCATGGGGATAGGGCCTGTGTGGGTGCTTGCCAGTCCCAGAGGCTGCTGTGCCTGAGGAGCAACCCCTCCAGCACCAGCAAGAGGGGATCCCCCAAAATGATGGGGCCGAGAGAGCAGGGACAGTGCTGGTGGCACATTAACTAGACAAGGAGGTGGCCAAGGGCAGAGTCCAGGCTGGTGGGGGGAGCACCGAGCCCCAGGGTCAGGGTCCACTGAGACACGGTGGACACTGCTGGCACAGGATGATGCACTGTGCTGCGGTGCTGGGTGCTGCACGGGCAGCCTCCACTGCTCCTCTCCTCCAGGCTGGGCTCCTGGGGGCGGCAAGGCGTGCCATGACCACCAACCTGCTCCGAGTCCCCCCGCCCCAGGAGCTGCTCCAGCCCCTGGCTGTGCCGGAGAGACTGCTGCTCGGGCCGGGGCCCAGCAATGTGCCCCCCCGCATCCTGGCTGCAGGTGGCCGGCAGCTCCTGGGCCACATGCACCCCGAGGTGCTGCAGGTGAGCTGCCCCAACCCAGACTCTTCCACTCCCCTCCCCTTCTCTCCCTTGACCCCCACGAGGGGCTGGGACAGCTCTGCTGGGGCAAGGGGGACAGCAGCAGTGCCAGCCAGTCCTCTGCCACTGCAGGTGATGGACGAGATCAAGGTGGGCATCCAGTACGCCTTCCAGACACAGAACCGGCTGACCCTGGCCATCAGCGGTACCGGGCACTGCGCCATGGAGGCTGCCCTCCTCAACCTCCTGGAGCACAGTGACACGGTGCTGGTGGCCGTCAATGGCATCTGGGGACAACGTGCTGTCGACATCGCCAGGAGGTTGGGTATGCTGGGGACAGCCAGATGGCACTGGTGGGGCTCAAGAGACCAGGCTTGTGGGCAGGATGCCAGAACGTGACCACTGGCTTGCTATCCCCATCCTGCCGGCAGTGGCAGTGACATGACTTCCACAGCCAGAGAGCACTCCAGGTTTTTCCAGGGTGATGTCCCTCACTTACGGTGGTTTAAGGCTCTTTCACCAGACAAATCTAGGGGAGGCCAGACCCTGGCAGGTGGCCATGCTCCTCGTTCATGCATGACCGATTCCCCGGCTGAGCAGGTGGCTGCTCAGTGGGAGGGTGCCCAGATTTCACTCTCCCTCTGCCCAAATCCCTCCCAGGAGCTGATGTTCATGAGCTGCTGAAGCCCCCAGGCGAGTACTTCACTCCTCGGGACATCGAGGAGGTGAGTGCCAGTCACAGTGCAGGGTGGAAGGAGCAAGCAGGCCCTGGGGACAGTCACCTTCCTTTGTTTTATGCAGGGCCTGGCACAGCACAAGCCCTCGGTGCTCTTCATCACCCATGGCGAGTCCTCCACAGGGGTGCTGCAGCCGCTGGAGGGGCTGGGCAAGCTGTGCCACAGGTGGGTGTGCAGTGGGCACTCACCGGGGCTGGTGGTACCCCGAGGTCACTGTCCGGGATTGGAGCATGGGGATTTACATGCCTTGGGCTCTCCTCTGACTCTGTTGTGCTGGAAGCAGCTGGTGCCAGTGAGACATGTGGCCTTGGGGGGACCAGGATGCTGGGACTGGAGCAAGAGGAGGTGGCAGGAGGGGTGGCAGGGACACCAGGCTGAGCTCTGTCCTCCCACAGGCATGGCTGCTTGCTGCTCGTGGATGCAGTGGCATCACTCGGGGGAGCCCCCATTTTCATGGACCATCAGGGTAAGAGCCACAGTGCCATCATGGACACCCAGGGGACAAGGGGGCTCATGCCTAGGCCAGGGAAGGAGGACAGTGGGATCAGCCCCACCGCCCATGTTTTGGGCTAGCAGCACTAGAAACTGGTCCAGCTGCAGCCAGAGCCTGTTCCTCTGTGGGGACTGTCAGCAGCCCCAGGGTGTCCCCCAAAGCTGCCTGTCCCCCACAAGCAGGACATGCAGCATGTGGCACCCTGTGCTTCTCACCTGCCACTCACAGCCAGGCTGGGGGGTCTCAGCATGTCTCTGCTGGAGCCCCTGGTCCCCAAGGAGCTACTTTCCCTCTTGGGCAGAGATCGACGTCCTGTACTCGGGGTCTCAGAAAGTCCTCAACGCCCCCCCTGGCAGCGCCCCCATCTCATTCAGCGAGCGAGCCAGGTAAGGGCAGCCCTGTCCCACTGCAGGGAAAGGCAGTGGGGCTGGGAGGAGGCTGTCATTCCCCCCCACTTTGCCAGCCACCCAATTGGGCCCTGCTCTGGAGAGCACACCCAGCAGCAGATCTGTGGGGTCAGAGCCCAGCCCAACCCTGGGCAGCGATGGGTGCTAGAGCCACCCTCTGCGCTCACATTGGAGGGACCCTTCCATAGGACTGGCCCTACCCTAGAGCTGGTCTGGTCAAGGTCCAGCTCCTACCCAGCACTCTGCTTCACCAGGGAGAAGATGCTGAGGAGGAAGACAAAGCCTCTGTCCTTCTACCTGGACGTGGCCTGGCTAGCAAACTACTGGGGCTGTGATGGGGAGCCACGAAGGTGAGGGTAGGCTGTCCTTGGACTGATGGCCGCAGTCGTGCCCCCTGCCTTTGGGGCTGCCTGGCCTGCAGGGCTTGGGTCCTGTCTGCCCATCACCCTGTGGGCTGGTCACAAAGCAGCCCTTGGGGGTTTGCATCCCCTCGGCACTGGGTGAAGAGGAAGGAGGATGCTGTGTGCCTGTTCCCCCCCGCCACAAGCTGGAGTACTGCTCTGCCACAGGCTGGGCCAAACCTGCCTGCCTGACCCTTGGGTTTTGCAGGTACCACCACACGGCGCCAATCAACACCTTCTTCAGCCTGCGGGAGGGCTTGGCCATGCTGTCAGAGATGGTGAGCGGCACCAGGCAGGCAGCGGGGCACCGGCAGTGCTGGCTGGGCTTGGGGGAGAGGTGGGTGCCAGGAGGCCCCTGTCAGCAGCAGGGATCTTCTCCCTTCTCTCTGCCCACAGGGTCTGGAGAGGTCCTGGGAACGACACCAGGCCAACTGCACCCTGCTGTGCCAGGGGCTGCGCGACCTGGGGCTTGAGCTCTTTGTGAAGGAGGAGGTGGGTGCAGGGCGAGCCCGCTGCCGTGGTGCGGGTGCATGGTGAGGACATGGCTCTGTGCAGCTGGAGACATGCCTGGGCAGCTTTTGATGTTGGAGAAAGAACTCCCATCTGCCCCCAGTGATGCTCTCTCCTGGCAGACCACCAGGCTCTCCAGTGGCCAGGGCCAGAGCCAGGAGCTGCAGACTTAACCGGGTTTCTCTCTTCCTCAGAAGGCAAGACTTCCCACCATTACCACTGTCAGGGTGCCTGAGGGCTACAACTGGAAGGAGATCACAGCCTTTCTGATGGACAACCACGCCATTGAGATCGCCGGGGGCCTGGGCCCCTCAGCAGGCAAGGTGGGCAGCATCCTCCCCTCCCGCTGCCTGTGGCCAGGCCCCCAACCCCACTGCGGCAGCATCCATCGACAGCACACCCCAGCATTAACCACTGCTCCCCAGCTGCACATGGCAAACACACAGCTGGATGCATCACATTGCCCACAGCGATGCATAGCGGCTCCTAACCACACACAACTGTCGGGTGTAATTGAATAACTGCACACATCATTAGTGGGGTGACTCGTCTTTAGAGGAAACACGTGTTAAATAGGAGCAAGCAGGGAGTTGCGCACATGCCCGCAAACCCGCCGCACATGCGGCTGCTCCTCATGTGCCCCCTGCTCCGCACAGGAGCCTGCTGGGGCATGGCCACAAAGGTGGGGGCTGCAGGGAGACATTCGCCCTTCTCCTCCTCCCAGGTCCTGCGAATCGGCCTCATGGGCTGCAACTCCACCAGCAGCAACGTGGACCGTGTGCTGCGTGCCCTGCGAGACGCCCTCAGTCGCTGTCACCGCAGCAGGCTGTGAGAACCCCAGCGAAAGGGGAGTCCGGATGAGGCAGCACAATGCTTCCCCCCTGCCCTGCTGGCAGGCAGCTGGCTGGCAGAGGGACTCCACCATCACTCGGGATGCTGGCAGGGAATACTCAACACCCAGCGACACAATGGGAAAGAGAAGCTGGAAGAGCGGGGGACGTGGAGGTGAGGGCTACAGCTCAGCGGACACAAGACGTGGCTCAAAGCTCTTTCTCCCGGCCACTGTGCAGCGTCACTCCTCACCCTGATGGCCTGGCCTCCCAGCTGCTCCCTTCCCCCTGGCCCCAGGACATGGCAGCCCCACTGCAAACAGACAGGAAAGCTGGCTGCAGGACCCAGCCACAGACCCTTTCCACTACCATCACCCTCGGCATCCCTGCGCCAGAGCCCAGCAGCACAGGATGCCATCCAGTCCCCCCACATTAAGGACAAAACACCCGCCCCAGTGCCCAGCTCTACTAGGGCGCTCAGGGCCATGCATCCCCACCCAGCTGCAGCAGACATGTGCTCACTCCTCGGTACCGTCTTTCCTCAATAAAGTGACACGGCAGCGTGCTGCTCCCCGGCCCTGTAGCTCGCCTTGCACACCTCCCAGTTTCCAGACACCCAGATGGGGCAACAGCAGGGTCCTGCTCAGCTCTGCAGGGGAATTTCTTGCTGGATCTTGGCGAGGAGCTGGGACATTGCTGAGCGGCGTGCACCGTCCTGGATCCGGTACATCTGGAACTAAGTGGAGGTGGGTGGGGAGTGAGGGGAGAGGGCTCCCCACTCTCCACAGTGGAGTTGGGCAGCCCATGCCTGTGGCTGCCAGGGGCTGGAGGGGCAAATTCCAGCACATCCTAAGCTGCCCAGGCCAGGCTGTGCTCTGCCTCAAGAGACCAGCGGAGGGTCTGGCATTACCTGGCTGAGCAGGATGTCAAAGTAGGGTGTGTCCCAGTAGGACCTGTCCTTGGTGGGGACATGCAGGAGGGCTCGGGTGCTGGGATCTGCCTTCCAGCTCTCAGTGCACGCAGGAGGGCCAAAATGGAAGCAGAGGAAGCGCCGGGGGTCCCGAGCAAAGCTCTCCACCTTATGGTAGAGGGAGGTGAGGTCTGGTGTCTCTCCTTGGAAGAGGTTCTCCTCTGGGTGCAGAAAGTGGGGCAGGCACTGGGTGGCCAGGCAGCGGAGGAGAATCACCAAGAGCCTGTAGACAGAGCCCTCCAGGTCCTGCCAGTCCTCTGCGGAGGAGAAGAGCTCCGTGCTCCACAGCAGCACCATCTGCAGTGAGGGAGAGAAGGGCGCAGGATCGGGCACTCCCCACAAAGGCTGTGCCTCCACACCCTGACCAATGCAGACATCATGTCCTCGGCAGCCTACGGCTGTGCAGAGGCTTGGAGCTGCTGCTTCAGGTGCAGCCCATGACGGACCACCCCTTTGTTTTGAACCTTTGCTTCACTCCCCAAAGACCCCCTGTGTCAGCTCTGAGGCAGGTCCCAGCTCTGCAGCAGCTCCAAAAAAACACACTCAAGCTTTCTGCAAGCACTAAGCAATAGAAAAAACCCTGATTGTGGCTTCAATCAGCCACTGGCAGGGCAGGTGAACCCTCAGCAGCTGCCACACCAGCTTCTTCAGCACTGCGCTGGCAAATGGCCCGGCAGCGACGCCTTTTGGCAACACAGCGTAACGGGCAATGCATATGGTGTGCTGGAGCAAAAAGACTCTTTTTTTAAGGACAGATGCATACTGTGCCCTTTTTAAAAAAAAAAAAATCCAAAACATCAGAGAATGCAACATAAAGCTAAACCCACAGGATCTGGGTTACTTGGAGCTGGAGCTGTTCTCTCAGCAGAAGTCAGCTCTGCCTGCTTCTCCACCACCAGCCCCGAGAGCCTCCACAAGGCAGGGCACACCTGGACTGGGCCACCAGCCGCTGTCCCTGGCACGGCCCTGTTCCCAACCAGCATCACTAGCTGGTCTGGGTCCAGAGCATCAAAACCAAGTTGAGTGGGGAGAGGAGGGTTTTGTCAGAGGAAACGCCACCCTCAGCCCTGTATGGGCACCTCCCAGCATGCCCGGGCACCAGACAGCTGGCGGCATGGCAGGCACAGCAATGCAATCCCCAGCATGGTCCCTGCAGACACAGGCAGCATGTGCCAGGGGATGCCTGACATGTTGGCACAGAGCCCCAGGTCTTATTGCTCAGGGTGTTTCAGGCTGGAGCTTCCTCATTCAATCCAGTAAGTGCCTGCCATTTGACAAGAAGGATCAAACCCCTCTCACCACGGCTAGTGGCATACATCCTTCCCAGACACAGCCACGGGCCAGTACATCCCAAAGCACTGCAGGCACTTAGGTTTGTTGCTTGGGACTTTCTTCCAGCAGCGATTTGGGTAGGACCTGCCTGACCAGAGAGCTGCTGTCTCACCAGCAGAACCTCCCTACCTTCAGGTGGTTGAAGGTGAGACTGCCTTTCCCACCCTCCTCTCGCCAGTCCTGGCTGCGTAGCTGATCGAGCAGGCGAAGGCTGTCCAGACGGGGCCCCTGCAATGTGTCCACTGCCCAGAGCAGCTTCAGGACTGGGAGGTGAGTAGAGGATCTGACGAGAGAAAGTGGTGTCAGGTGAGAGGGAGAATGGAGACTCCTCTGGCCACCCATATGGCCCCAGGCATGCAGCATCCTGGATCCCTCCTCCTGCACCCACCTCTGGAGAAGAGGAACCCAGGATACTTGCAGCATTATGGGGATGCTGCTGAGCAGCTCCTGCCTTCCCAGGAGGGACAAGAGGGGAGGAGAAGGGGGATTGTGTTCCCCTACGTGCAGCAGGGAGGGCTGCAAGCTGCCCCAGAGGGGCAGCTGGACTGGATCCCAGGGAGGGGCTGAGCCTCCAGCTGAACCACACTGTGCCCTAAATAAGCCTAAACTGGTCCAACCAGAGGCTTGGCCTCTCCTTGGGGCCAGGTAGCCACGCTGGAAGGCAGATGCGTATCACCCTGGCCCCACTCCCTCCCACAGCCTGCCCTGGGAGGCACTTCATCGTCCTGCTGCTGCCAGATGCACAGGCTCACTCCCAAAGCCTGAGAAGGGATCTGACAGCTGCCACCCTCCACATAACCTGGGTTCAGGTCCTGCAAACAATCTGGGGACAACACCTCCGCTGCATCCCCACCTCTTTCCTTGAGCTGCCTGAAATTTGGCTGAGGTTTTTCCCCCAACACAGAGCAGACAGTTGGGCATCATGAGAGGGTGACTTCACACACACGTTGACACATCCCTCCACTTTCCCATCCCCTTTCTCCCTAAACCCAGCAGTGCTGCCAGCCAGGGAGGATTCCCAGAGAAGGGTCACCCCGTTACGCACGCGGCCAAGCCACTCACCTCCAGCAATGGGCAGAGGCAGGGACAAAGTGGGCCTCTTCCGTGGCCTTCCAGAGGCTGCCTTCAGGGAAGCCCCCGTTGCTCTGCCGCCCCTTGAGCCAGAGCGGCTCCTGTTGCCTCCTCACCACAGGGATGATGTCAAAGCGGATGGTCTTCCAACCACCACGGATCAGCAAGGAGAGCTCCATGGCATCTTCTTGCAGATTTTCAGCGCTGAGGTCACCTAGATGCAGAGGGTTTGGCTGTGGTTAGGAGGTTACCACAGCCGGTCCCACAGGCTGAACTGGGTATGTGCCGCAATGTGCCCATGGGCACGTCCCACCCTGCTCGACTCATCCCTTTCCAATGCTGCAGTTTGGCTGTGCTTCCCTGGTGAAAGGCATTCTACAAACCCCACTGAGGTGCTTTTTGGGAAGGAACGTCACTCCAGTGAGGCTCAGGGCCAGGCCAGTGGGTGTGGGCACAACAGGAAGCCCTGAGTGGCTGAACAGGACCATGCTGCTGAGTGGCTGAATGGTGCCAAGAAAAACAACGTGGTCCAAAAAAATGGATCAGGAAAGGTCTCAGGCTGTGGGGGTAGAGGAAGATGAAGGGCTCTGGCTTGGCCACGGAGGAAGGAGGGAATGGTGGGCTTGCTGGGGCTGCATTAAGGGACTTTCAGACCTGCTGGTCCTCTCACATTACCTTTCCGTCAGGGCTGAGATTTACTTCAAGAAGCATCTTTGGAAACAGAAATGCATAAAGAAGCTGTTGGGATCCTATGGGCATTCCCAGGTTCCCTTCCCCACTGTGTCCTTCCCAGGGACGTTGCTCCCAGCTGGGGCCCATGTGTGTGCCCCAACATCCTGGTCCAACCCTGACATGCTTGCAGTTTGCCCTTGCAAACAGCCTCCACTGGGAAGCAGGGGGCACTCGAAGGCCAGGTGAGATGGGAGGAACGTGGTTAGGGTGAGCCAAGCATGCCAAGTCCCTAAGCAAACCTTCCCTGGGAACTAATGGCAGGGGTGGGTGAACCCTGCATTGAGCTGCTACCTGTCAAGGAGGGTGCCACCAGCCCAGGGTGAAGTTGTCTGAGGATTACTTGGCCCTGTGGCATGGCAGGGAGGGGTTTGCATCTCCCCTTCCTTAGCTGGGGGCAAAGCCTGTCCCAAGTGCATGTCAGGGCACTGGCTCAGTCACGCAGGCTTTGGGTAGGTCATGCTCCTGGGGACTGATGCCCCAGCCCGTGTGTGCAGGGACCACCACCAGGCTGGGCTCCTCAGCCATGCTGGAGGCAGCTCCTGGTTGGGGAAGCATCGCGCGGGCGTACACACCTGGCTGAAGCAGGAAGCGGAGTTGGCAGCACACAATGGCCGAAACGAGAAGCTCTTTCAGGTGCTGGAGGACTTTACCTGGAACCAGGCACTTCACACCACGTGCCTGCTCCGTGACACCCACGGTGCTTGTCCAATCCTCCAGGTCAGTCTCTGGAGAGGGCACTTCCAGATAGCAGGTGCCCAGCCCCAGACAGTGGCCATCTGAGGCATCCCTGGACTGGCATGGCAGCACCCGCAGGACACTGCCGTCAATCCGCAGGGGGACCTCCATGGTGACAGCATCCTCGGAAGCGCAGAGAGTGAACTCAAAGGCTTCCAAGTTCCTGGCGTAGTCCACAAGGAAGCGGGGCTCCCTGGCATGGATACCCTCCAGCAGGGTCAGCAGGATGTCCTCAGCCTGCTGGAAATGCTCCAGGCGCTGCCTCTCATGGGATACGATTGCCCCGAGGTAGCTCTGCCAGTATGAAGTTCTGGCTGCCATGGCAGCTCTGCCACTGTCCTGAGCTTGCTTCAAGCAGGAAGAAAAATATGTGGGCAGGGAGGGCAGGGCTGGGAGCCAGTGCAGGGTGGGTGGAGGGAAGCCACAGCCGGGCGTTGACATGCACCATTGCTGGGTGAGCGCCAGAAAGAGCTGCCTGGAGCACCATGTCCCCCCAGGGCGGGGGACTGAGTCACAGGGTGGCCCCCCAGCAGTCCAGCAGGGTGACAAGGGATGCTCAGCCAGCAGGTCAGGCCAGCACAACGCTGTGGTGTCCCACACCTCTCCCAGCACCTGGGCCATGTGCTGACAACACCCCCTCACAGCCAGTGCCAGGAAGGCAACCCACAGCCCTCCCGCCCTGGCCCAGCTCAGCCCGGCAGGCCCAGCTGCCTGGGACAGGTCTGCTCGGAACTCGTGTTGCATGGTGGGTGCTGGGAGCAGGCTCATGCTGGAGCCGGGCCGGTCTGTGGTGGCTGTGGGAGGGCTGTGGGACCCCACACCCAGGACCCTGCACCCGGGACCCCACACCCTGCAGGCACCCGGCGCAGCCATGTGGGCCCAGCCCACAGCTTGATCTGACCCAGACTCATGCTCTTGCCCATGCCCATGCTCATGCCCATGCCCATGCCCAGGCCCATGCCCGTGCCCAGGCCCATGCCCATGCCCAGGCCCATGCCCAGGCCCATGCCCATGCCCAGGCCCATGCCCAGGTCCTTGCCCATGCCGAGGCCCATGCCCATTGCCGTCATTCCCGACGCCCCTCGGCTGCGCAGAGCCCCCGGACCTGGCCCT